GTGGTTATATGGATGAGTGCTCTGTGAGTGCACCACATTGTTCCTTGTATATCTGCTTTGAAAGTAAACATCTGTGTGTATGGATGTGCAGTTGGAATGCATTATGCTATTGTGTGTGTGTGTGTGTGTGTGTGTGTGTGTGGGAGAGAGAAGCGAAATGGATTCATGGTCTACGTAATCAGTTTAATAGGCGTCAATAAAAATAATCAACAAGGTTTACAAAGCCACAGTTATGTGTTGTTACTCATCTGCATGTGTTATTATACATTCATTCATTCAAATGATTCCAACCGTTAGGTAAAATGTATCTTTGGTTGTAATAAAATTTGTTAAAAATCTTTCTATGTATATGTATTTAGGCCTATATTAAAAACCAGAAGTTAGATTTTAAAAAAATCGTATTACCAAGTTATTATATTAAAAAAATGCAATTACTTGACAATCTTATGACTGAAAAGTAGGAGTCAGTATAAACAAAATACACAACTGAAATTCATTTTCTTCTTTAAAGTAGGTTGAGGGATAAAAAAAAAAAAGCCGGAAAAATAGGCTATCCTTCTTTACCTCTAATTAATTTTAACATTTTGTACATCTCCCATTGGCTAACAAAGAATATTAAGCACTCAGTATGTAGTAACCGACAGACATCATTACACTTTTTGCATAATTATTATTATTATTCTTTTACATTGTTTTGCATACTGAATTATGATTAGTCTACCTTGAATATAGCCTACTTATTCATAGCTACCTCAACGCTGCAAAACATCGCTGTGTTTTTGTGTGCTGAAGTGGCACTGATTTGCAATCGCTGGTATTTCCTTCAGGAAATGCAAATATTTATTTATTTTTTTTAGACTACTCAAAGGCCAAATTTATTTATTTTTTTTATTTTTTTTACCGTGGGCCATTTACTCTGGTTTGTGTTTCATATGCATCTTAATTAGATAAACATAAATTAAATGCCCAGGAGGGTATTAGGGGGCTTTCTTTTTCACGTGTTTTCACCTATTGATTGGCCTTTCATCGAGCTGACTGTTGGCTGTTGCTGTGTTCTTCTGTCACCGCTGGATGTCAGTGATCTGCCTGTGGTCATTATAGAGATACAGAGAGCGCCTCCCAGCGGTCACGGTGAGAGTGACATCCTCGCATATTAACATTGAACAAGTTCATATTTATTTTACCATGAGCAAAAAGTTGTCAGCTAAACTTGTGGTGCCTGTGTGTATTTTCCAAATAACCAGAAGCTAATGGGTCAATTCTGGATTTGACACAATTAACACGATCATACCAACCCAACAGGCTGCTAACTCTACATAGGCTACAAGAACTTCTGGTAATAACACCTGTGATTTAAATAGACAAAATTATCCTCATCTAGGATATACGGTTAAAGATTATGCTATATATTCCTAAAAATCTATTAATTAATGAGCACTTTCTAACACAAATCCAGCAAAGCAGGAAGTATTTAATGCTAGCATAAAGGCCTGCTCCCACAACACCAAAACCTAATGAGCTGTTGCTTATCATAAGCGTGTACAGCAATTTTGTGCACAAGTCTTGCTATCCAGCTCACATGGTTTTGAGCTTAAATCTACAGTGAAACATCTGGAGTTTATCCAATTCCAGAATGTAAATTTATAATAATGTGGATATGTATAAATGAACATACACAATACAGGTAGAAAGGACATTTTGTTCATAGCTATGCTCATTGCACACCTTCATGTATGAGTGATTAGTTTTGGGTATTTGTAAATGATTAAAGTTTAAAGCTACATTGGCACATCAGAAGTAGGCTGCTAAACAGCTCATTTATTTAGTTTTACTGTTTGAATCCTGTTTTAATGTAAAAATGTTGCATGGGTAACAGGAATTGTATGCTTTCATACATTGCATTGTGTTGTGCTGTAGGGTTCAAGGAAATGTCCATAAATTTAACAGATTATGTTCTACCAGTGCTTTTCTGTTTTTCTACTGATTTATTTCTTACAGTGATTCAAATTGGAAACATTAATGTATAATGCTTGCTCGTAATCGAACCAGTCAAACAGAAAAAATGGTGTAGGATTTAGTTTGAAACAATTTTAAGTTGCTAGTATTTAAGAGCTTTGCATAGAATTACAAAAAACTAAATATTTTTTCAAGCAGAAAGACTGAAATACTAGGCCTACTTTCTTCTAAAACTTATTATAGTACGTGAAGACTAAAAACAAATTGGTGCATTTTTTTTTTACTCAGAAATTGCTAGTAAATTTCACAATTGCAGCAAGTAGCATGTTGAATTAAACATGATCCAAAGTAGAAAGACTGAAATAATATTTGCCTGTAAAATACTCCACGAATATACATTTTTAATACTCGCATTTGTACAAAATGTACATTTTGTGTTGCTTGAAAAAAAACGTCACTAATTTTTATTCAGCTACCACTGAAAAATATTTTTTTACATTGTATAATTCATTCTGTGGTAACATCTAAATTAACTAGTTTTCAGATACAATTAATTTCATATATTTTTAAAATGCATTTTAAGGTTACTTGTTCATTAGCTCTTAATTTTCTAAACAAATGTGATATTTAACGTTTACTTTACATTTAATGCATTACAGTATCTGTGTACGTTTAACAACATTAAATAGTGTTGTGTACAGAGCTGGGTAGTAACTGATTACATGTAATCTGGATTACATAATCAGATTCCAAACCCCTGCTTTCACAGACAAGGCTTAACGCTAGTCCCAGACTAAAATGCATGCTTGAGCTGTCTCAACTGAAAATATCTTGCTCTTACATATCTTAAAATATGTCATTGCCATGGTTCTGTCTCAAGATGCACACCTGAAAGGTTTTTTAAGGCATTTTTACAAAAGCTGCTTAAATATCTAAATTTACCTAAGGCCTAGTCCTGGTTTAAGATAAGACCCATCCGTGAAACCGGCCTAAGTATGTGTAATTAGATTTAATTGCATTTTAAAATACTTGTAATCAGTAATCATTACATATTATTTACACAATAGCAATAATTTATTCATAATTTATTGATTCTCCCTAATTCCTCTTTTTCATCTTTTTAATTTTCCTTTCTAAAATAGCCCACCGCTTATATACAGTCAGAAAGTCCTCCAGTTTTCTGGACCTTCACACAGAGATCAGTCATTAGTCAGGTGGCTACACATCATTTGACCACATTAAAATGCACAAATTCACCAGTTTTTTTGTCACCTGAATCTCTTTCACCCAAAAACAAAAGTGTTGCGTTTATAATTTTGTTCAGTGTATTTACTTGAAGTACACCTGAGATTTAAAAAAAAATATATATTTTAATAATGAAGTATCATACTTGAATGTTCATTGGTTCTATGACATTGGTTGATGGTCGCATGACATGCAGGTAAACAAATAAAATATTTCATTTTTCAGTGTGTTTTAAAAAAAATTAAACTTAAACTTAACATTTTTATGATTGAAGTATTAGCTTTTCATTAGACTCATAAACCCCCTGCAGTTCCATCACAAACCCAGTTTGAGAAAGCTTGATGTAATATAATGCACTTCACTGTACTTATTGGAATATATTTTCTTACTCTTTGTATTTTTATATCAATATGGTACAAGATTATCCTATTTGAAATCAATGTGGAAAAACGAAAGTAATCTAAAAGTAGTCTGATTAAATATAACCTAAAATGTGTAATGTAATGGATTACGTTACCAATTACAATTTTTGTCATGTAATTTGGAATCAGTAACAGATTACAATTTATAAGTAATCTACCCAGCTCTGGTTGTGAACTATATATCATTATAATTTAACCACACCAGATTAAGTGAATAAAAGTATTTTAATTGTCAGAACAGGTAGAACTCTCCCATTTTCCCTGTTCACAGGGTAGTGGAAAGCTTGGTACTGTTGGTATAACTGTATTATTACAATGCCATTTCATTCAGAGTGGGGCAGCAGGCTGATATGTGACCCTGGAGCACAAAAGCAGTCTTAAATCGCTGGGGTATATTTGTAGCAATAGCCAACAATACATTGTATGGGTCAAAATTATCGATTTTTCTTTTATGCCAAAAATCATTAGGATATTAAGTAAAGATCATGTTCCATGAAGATATTTTGTACATTTCCCACCGCAGATATATCAAAACTTCATTTTTGATTAGTAATATGCATTGCTAAGAACTTCATTTGGACAACTTTAAATGCGATTTTCTCAATATTTAGATTTTTTTTGCACCCTCAGATTCCAGATTTTCAAATAGTTGTAGTCTATCTCTGCCACATATTGCTTATTTATTCAGCTTTCAGATGTATACATCTCAAAATGTAAAAAAAATGGACCTCTATGACTGGTTTTGTGGTCGCAGATGTAAACATATGCTAAATGATTTGTCACCGTTCATGGTCATTGTCAAAGGTGTGGGGGGACGACTTTACCACAGCAACAACACGAAGCCCACAATGACGCTCTTTTCACTTGAAGGCCAGACATCGTGCATCTGCGAACGTCTCCCCCTTCTCTGGTCTCTGACCATTTTGGTTGAGTAAGAGGGAGCAATGTGTTCCGGGAATAGTTTCTGTTCGAGGAGGTGAGGTGGACCAGACGACGCGTGAGCTCGAGAGACGGAGGGGAGGGAGAAGAGAGAAACAGCCGCCTTCAAAAATGGCGTCTTCGAGGGAAAATGACTAATATGATGAAAAAGGGAGGCCTCGAGCTCGACATTCAAGCGAACCGTGCGGGATCTGCGCGCAGCGTCGCTTTTAGACACCGTTGAGTCGAACGCAAGCCGAAGCGAGCGGAGCGGGATTTACCGAAAACACATCAGCAGCACCATCTTATTTTGACGCGTCGACACAGGGCTAGCCCGCGCTGCTAGCGCGCAACAACGCTGTGGGTGGAATTTAAATGTCGCGTTTGCTATTCTCCAGATTCGCTCGCAATATCGTTGTATGCGTAATGTAACGTTAGCAGTCGTTTAACGGCCGACGTCCCTTGATGCATATTTCATACAAGTAAAGTAAGTGGAGAAAGGGGAGGAGAAACAAGGGAAAGGACGTATACGGTCATATGCGTCCATCGGTAATTTATCGGTCAAACCGAATTCTTCGCAGCCCGCCAGGAGCATGGCATTACTCGATCTGGTTTTAAACGAGAAAAGGCTGAAAAGGAGGTGAGTTATTTCTTTGGAGGTGGTCGGTGAACACCCCCTCTATCACGCACTCATCTCCTCCCCTCCATTTCCCTCTCCCTTTTCAATATGCTATTTTTCACTCTTATGGACTTAGTCGTCTCTCACCAGGAAGAATGATTAAAAACTGACAAGGGGCCGCGATCTTGCTGTGCAGAAGAGTTTTGCACCGAAACCGTTCGCTCGCACCCTCCAGCCGCGCGTTATTGCGAAGCGATGGACAGAAATTACCCGGGAGCTGGCTTCGGTGATCTGGGCGCAGGAGCCGGATGGAGCTACGAGAGATCAGCCAAAGCAAGGTGAGCATGCAGCCATGCTGAAAACACAGAATGATGTTTGGAACAAAACAGACCGTGCAAACCCGTGCATTTGCATCTGACGATGCATTTGCGTAGGATGTCAGAAGGTATTAGTGTAGCTATTGTTATTCAAATAAGCGAGGGATTGCAGCTTTGGAAATTCAAGTGTGATTGATGGACTAATGTGCGGTTTGGGGAGGAGAGGGAGGAAGAAAAAAGGTGGGGGGCGGGGTGAAGTCTGCTCGCACGATTTTAGTACAGACCCCCTGTGAACGATGAACAAGGGCTCGCTCGGGTCAAGCCTACCGAGAAAAGATCGCTAAAAAGGACGCGAACCGCTTTACCTATTTGCAACAGTTTAAACGATCCCGTTGATTAAAACACACCATGCCAGAATTAAACGTAGCGGTTGCGTTGGAAATGCACGTGTGCGTTTATAGCGTTTTGTAGAAAAACATTCCTCGTTGGTTTAAACAATGCTACGCGGCCTCTGATGATGAGCGGCTAATGTTACAGTCAAACCTCCGTTAGCTAACCTCATCATGCTACTGTCGCATGTGGGCCTAGTATGGATTTAAACAACAACAAAAAAAAATGATCTGAAACCTATGTTAGGTTTTACTTCATGCCAGTGAAAATAATAAAAAAACGCCCATCGTTTCCGTTGAGACATCCGTGAAGCTAGCTGTCGCGCTTGTTCTTCTGAAGATGGGAGCGAACTGCGCTGCTTTGCTAACGAGTTAGCCTCCAATGCTATGCTCACTGTCACACATTAAGACGTGAATTCTAGTCAACAAATCATTACATAAATAAAAACATTGTGTTTTATTTTTTATTAAATAGCAATAATTGGTGTTGGCAAAGGTGTATTTTAATATTTTCAATTTCAAAGTACTTTACTGACATGATTGTTTTACATACAGTTCGCACATATAACAGTGGCAAGATAATAATAAAAAAGCCAGTACTGTTAATGAAACACGTTAATAACAATTTATAATATAGAATAGGCCTTTATTTATAACAAAAGCATTCATTTACAGTATGACAGTGGCTGGTGTCTGATGGAATGTATTTCATTTGCCATATTTTATTCATTTGTTTTATTTGTAAGTATAATTTAATATCTCAAAAATTCTGTCCAGGTGCCTTATCTTAATATCTGAGAAGGAGAATGAATGAGATCTTAAGTAAAATCTCCACGATAAGAATAAATGACCATGTTTCTGTTGTACAGCCCACTGAATCTAAATATAATAATAATGTTAATAAAACAATGTTAATCATTTGCAATATAGAATATATTTACAACAAAACATGTTTTTGATGACATGTAGTTCAAATTAGGATTTGTTACGACATTATTTTTTTGTATAAATTCAATATCTCAAAAATGCTGTTCAGGTTTATTATAGTTTATTGTATAAGGAAGTTTATTATCTTAATATCTGAGAAGTGTTCGCCATGGTTGATAGATTAGATAGGGATAAATTAGGATGTTTTTAGCTCCAATACAGCTCCAGATATGTAAATATTAGAGTGCACCAATAAAAGTAATTATGTCAGATATTACAAATCTATGTATATATAAAAAAAAAAACATCACAGCACATTATAAAAGCTGGATGACTGTTCTTTTTGAGTTCTTAAAGTCAATGAACAACAACAAATAAACATTAATAAAGGCCACTTTTTTCTCATAAAGGGATAGTTCACCCAAAAATGAAAATTAGCCCATTATTTACTCGCCCTCAAGTAGGGCTGGGCGGTTTTCTCGATTAATTTGAATTTAATGTTTTGCCACGATTTTATTTTTTAGAAATCGAGGAATCGCGATTTTGAATAGAAATATTACCAAATGTTAGAATTAGACACTTTGACAATATGCCGGTGATAACAGTAAAGAGAAAAGAACGATCCAACCGCATGTCGGCGCACGTGATTATCCGCTCATGTGTGACGCGCTTGGTGAAGGACCATACATTTAGCGCTAGGCGTCATTCACACAGCGCTTTTGTGTTGGCAAAGATGCGACGCAGGCAGTGGAATAGGTAAAACATGCAAGAAGATGGGAGTGAACTTCTTTTAACTTGAGCGCAGTGTTTTTAGAATGGCGTTTCATGCATGAGACACTGCAAGAGACGCGAGCGCAACAGTCAAACGCATCCATGTTTGCACAGAAAAAACAATGGAAAAGCAGCGCGATCGAATAAAAAACCTGTAAAGAACTACTACTGTATGTCTGATATTTCTTGTTTGCATCATGGTGATGGGCTGAAAGCTGCTGTTGTTTTTAAAGGACATTTAAAGTTAATAAAAGTCTACTGGTGTTATACCTTCAGTCATTTTGAATTTGAATTACCTTGACTTTTGAGATTTTCTAAAAGAATTTTCCTCGTATTATTTCTGAACACATAATATGTATAAGACAAGTTTGTACAATATGTAGTTGTAGTTTTTTTAAATTACTTGAATCATGTTGTAGTTACATTTTCAAGTTGACTAGTTAAAAATCGTAAAAAATCAAAGAAAACATTCTGGAAAATTCGAGATTTAAATTTTTTGCAAAATCGCCCAGCCCTACACTCAAGTCATCCTAGGTGTATATTGTGGGGGAAAAAAGACTGTATATTCACCGAATCATGCTTTCGTCTTTGAACAATTACATAAAACGTGTGTGCATGGTAATGTATAAAGAACGTATAGTTCTGCTATGCGTGCTGCCATTTTTACTGTGCTCAGCAGCTTTACTGCCACTGCAATTAAAAAAAAGAGCTGAGTCTCAATATCGGCCTGAACACATTTTCCATCTATAAGCATTATTAAAACAGAGACGGAGACTGAGAGGTTTAGTTAAAGGGTTAGTTCACCCAAAAATTAAAATTAGCCCATGAATTACTCATCCTAAGTGTATATGACTTTCTTCGTTCAGACGAATCCAGTCTGAGTTATATTAAAAATTGACTTTGATCTTCCAAGCTGTTTAATGGCAGGCAGCGGGTGTTGCAGTGCATCAGTCCAAAAGAAGTGAAATAAAGCTTATTCATCCATAATAAAAAGTGCTTCACACGGCTCCGGTGGGTGAACAAAGGCCTCCTTTAGTGAATCGATGCGTTTTTGTAAGAAAAATATCCATATTCAAAACGTAATAATCACTTTAATGTAGCTTGCAACAACAAAGCTGACCTCATACGTCATCCGCCCGGTGCTGCTTCTGTGTACAACAGTGAGCGCAAGCTAGATTCAATTAATTATTACGTTTTAAATATGGATATTTTTCGTACAAAAACGCATCGATTCGCTAAAGGAGGCCTTTGTTCACCCCCCAGAGCCGTGTGAGGCACTTTTTATTATGGATGAATACGCTTTATTTCACTTCTTTTGGACTGATGAACTGTAACACCCACTGACTGCCATTAAACAGCTTGGAAGATCAAAGTCAATTTTTAATATAACTCCGATTGGATTCATCTGAAAGAAGAAAGTCATATACACCTACGATGACTTGAGGGTGAGTAATTCATGGACTAATTTTCATTTTTGGGTGAACTAACCCCACATTTTATGGTGTGATTTATTATATAATTTGTTTTTGACAGATCATCAGGTCTTGTGATTTTTTCTGATACATAAATCCACATTTATTACAGATTAGGAATTTTACAAGATTATTCATTCAAAATTATGAATTTTGTACTAATTAGAAATTACGAAACCTAATAGAATTGAATTACAAGTTAATTATACCGGTATAATACCCTTTACAAAATTGCTACTTAAATATTGCTCATTAACGAGCTTGGTTATGCATTAGTTACTGTACAGAGATTACCATAGGAAAACTGCAAACTTGTTTAATAACTTTAACACTTGCTTCAAGCATCATTGATAATTAATGCTCAGTCCCTGTTGATCTCTGCTTTTGTCAGCTTGGTGTATGGCAGCTCTAGATCATCACATCCAGAGTCTGAACTTCTTCATCGCCAAGCCTACGCCACTCCCCATCCCCTGCAGGGTTATGCTACCAATCACCATCCTGGTGGATCTGGCCAGGGTGGGGCTTGGGGTGCAGCTGGAAGGAGCCTGGGTGAGTGACATTACTTTGACTTTACGTTCAATCATCTGGTTTGATTTCTTTGTATCATGTTGACGTGTATAGAACCACAGCACTTGTGGAATATCTCATTTTTATTTATGATGTATGCTGATTATTTATTTATATAGCGATTGATTTATGATCAGATAAGCTGATCACAGAATATAGTTGATCACAGCAAGCCCAGAAAATGTTTACGTGTACTGGCTTGGTAGTTAATTTTCGATGGATGTGATGTAGACACACTTGCATAAGAAGATGCACTGCATCCCTGAGGTTTTGAAGCACAATGTGCCCAATTGTAGCTTTTATTATAGAGCTTATATCTACAAGTCTACATACAGCTATATCTACATAGCATGTTCTAATGAGTGATATTGTTTCAAATCAAGAAACAGGTTTGTTTTGCCTGATAATATTAATAATAATATTACTTTTTTTGCCTTTTAGAAATGCACATTTGATAGTAGTAGTAGCTTGAGTTAGGATGCAGATGCAAATTTTTGTTCATTATCAGAATCAGTAACATCTGTAAATATTGTAGCAACCTCATGTTTATATGGTGAAATTTAATTATTCTGACGTTTTTTTATGTTTTATTTTTTATTAATCATTGGTCTTCCATAGTAGCATACATTTAAATCATGATAATCACACCACACATATAGCACCTCAATACCATGGTAAAAATATAAATATATGTTTTTTAGGTATTTGTATGAAAAACAGTTGTCTAAAACATTTAGTATAAATGCACACATGCTATAGCTTAAAAACAAAAAATACTGTAATTATATTTTATTACTCCTTTAATACATTTAATTCATGTCTACATTAATAATATAGTAAAATTCGATACAAATATCCACATTTCTGCCACAATACCACGGTGCAGTTAGTGTTACTATAATAAGTCCATGGTAAATGATTTGTAGATTGAAAAACCTTCTGACTATATCGTTGCACACAGTGTTTCTCCTGTTTGTCAGTGCTTTCATCTGGCTTTAAAATCACAGAGTCATTTGTGTTGTTCACTGAATTCAAGCACTTCACACTGGGTCTCACAGCGCTGTTTAATGCTCGCGTGACCTAGACTCACCTGCTCTAGTGAGCTTGCGCTGCCGTTTAAACTTTGATCCGAGTGGATAAATGGCCCGTGTGGCACAGTTAGCACTGTTTCGTTCTGCTTTTGGTGCATAAACATTATCGAACATTTATCGAACTCTTCATATTGTTTAAAAATTATATTGTTATCGATTTATTGCCCTAGCTTGCAGTTTTCAAGTATCCAACAAGTATCAAATATTCAATTAAATGTTCAGAAATCAAAAAAGTTATCACATGCAATAAAAAACTACTACGTAGTCTGCACTGCATGACTAGAAAATATAATATATTAGTATGTATGAATAACTGCTGTAAGAGTTTTGAATGAGAAGGTCTGTTTACATTCACTTAAGACCAAATCGATTGTTTACATCAATACTCTGCCAAGAGAAGTATTTTGACCAAGAAGTGCATGTGAAGTAGTGCATGCACACAAGACATGAGCATTTGAAAGCATAATATTTTGAATTACAGAGTTAGTAGAGAGACTAGTATTGTTACATTTATATTTTTGTTGTAGTATTGATTTTTTACCGATGCACCAATACTTTTGATGTCCCTTATTAAGAGGATATGTGACCATGGACCACAAAACCAGTCTTAAGTGTTAATTTTTCGAAATTGAGATTTATACATCAACTGAAAGCTGAATAAATAAACTTTCCATTGATGTATGGTTTGTTAGGATAGGACAATATTTGGCCGAGATACAACTATTTGAATATCTGGAATCTGAGGGTGCAAAAAAATCAAAATATTGAGAAAATCGCCTTTAAAGTTATCCAAATGAAGCCCTTAGCAATGCATATTACTAATCAAAAATGAAGTTTTGATATATTTACGGTAGGAAATTTACAAAATATCTTCATGGAACTTAATATCCTAATGATTTTTGGCATATGTCTTTTGTATAGAATTAATGCTGTGTTTACCAAATGTGCTCATTACATGCTTGTTTTTCCATATGTGTGGTTTTCTTAGGCCTGTCTGGACTTTTTGATGCTGGGCTGCACCACGCAAGTCCGTCAGGCCCAGATCCATCAGTTATGAACCTTATATCTGCACTAGAGTCCCGGGGTCCACAACCGCCTCCCTCTGCCTCATCCCTCCTATCTCAGTTTCGCACTCCATCATGGCAGACGGGTAAGCTTAGCTTACTGAGTTATATGAAGTTTGCACAAAATGAAATAACATATTTGATAAGGATCAAATCAAGAATGCACAGTCACTGTTTGCATCAGATATGTTGAATGTATGGAGGAAATGCTGGTAAACTGTAAGTGCATTCAGCCAGCACTGGCAACACTGTTGCCATAGCAACAACTTGTAAGCCACATATTAAAAAATATTACTTGGCTTTTGTAATAACTCCATGTGCACAGATGTCAAAAAAACAGTATTGTCTTTGCACTCATTAAGTTTTTTAAATTATTATTTTAGTATGTGTTTTCTTAGCCTTAGCTTTTGTCTTTTCTTTTCTGTGTTTTTTTTCTCCAAATTTTAGCCATGCACACGCCTGCCCCTGCAGAGCTTTTCATCTCGGGTGCTCTTCCTGGATCTGGATCCTTCCCATCCTCTTCTGCTTTGTCTGCCTATCAGCACCCAGCACCATTCTCAGGGCGGTCCTTTCCTGGTGTGACCCCCTCATTGTCCTTACAGGACACGCCCACTTTCAGCCCCACCTCCAATGGCCTCCTGTCACCCCATGATCCTTTACTCCACATCAAGACGCCTTCTCAGTCAAGTCTGGGCTTTGACCGCCTGTTGTCATCACGGGGTGCAGCTGCGGCTTACCGTGGAAGTCATGATCCAACTGGGGTTGGGGTGACATCTGCTCAAGGTTCCTCTGCAGCCTCAGTTTCTGCCCGCCATTTACCTTCTCATCAGTTCAACTTGTTGTCCTCTCAGCTTCAAGACCAGCCCTCCCATTTGTACAGTGCCTCTGTGTTTTCCTCTACCCCTGCTCCACCTCAGCCAACATCCCAAGAGCAGACAGTACCAAGACAAGACAGTGTAATTAAACACTACCAACGTCCCTCTCCAGCACAAGCCCCCTCATCCACTCCTCATCCACTTCAGCACTACCTTAGTTGTGGGGTGTCATATCAGCAAGCCACTCATACTCGCCATGCTGGCCTCTCTTGCAGTCCCCTAGGTGAACACAGTCCTTCCTCAGACCATAAACCCTCCCCCAGGACTGAACAGTACAGACCGATAATCCAACCTTCTTATGGGTCCTCTTCATCCTCATCCTCTGGTGGGGCTGGAAAGGGGACTAAGAGCACCTCCAGTAGTGGTTACTCCTCTTCTGGATCTGCATCCTCTTCCAGAACCCCCCACACACCACCCTCTGCCTCTTCTGCTTCATCCTCATCTTCATCCTCTTCCTCTTCTGCATCTGTTAGTGCTCGTCAGTCTAATTCCATTCCAACCTCCACTTCTGCCTCTGCATCCTCTCGACAACAGCCACCAACCCAGACTGTACCCCCTCCACCCCAGTCACATTCCCAGCCCCCTCAGAGCTCCTCTAACTCCACCCAGCAAACCCTTCCCAAGTCGTGCCACTCGGGTTACGGATCCCCAGTGGCTCCAGTAAAGTCATCGAGTGGTCTAACGGGCCAGACCCCTCCTCAGCCACAACCCCAGTCTTTCTCTCCAAGTCAACCTCCCCCATCACACCTTTCCCAGTCATATGGGGGATTCAGTTCTCCACAGACTCATGATCTTCCTTCAGCTAGGACCTCTGGAGTGGCTAAAGGGTATGGGAATTTGGGAAGTCAGTCGTTCTCAGCGGAATCAGTATATGGGACTGATTCAGGTTATGGGTCTCTGCCATCATCCTTAGGGGGTGCTGGAAGTCCCTCAATGGGTTATGGTGCATCAGGACACTCACCTGCCCTTCTTAGGTCAGGAGCAAGTGGTGGAACAACTGGTGGTAGTACTAGTGGAGGCAGTACAGGAACTGGAGGCAGTGGTAGCGTGGGAGGTGGAGGAGGTGGTGGATCTTACCACATCCCTGATTCAAGCCCATCTCCGTCTAGCAATTCTGGAATCATCCGCCCTGGTCTGCATTCTCCTGCACCTTCACGACCTTCTCAGTCACCTGTTGGAACAGGATCCAACAAATATCTATCTTCCGTTCTCTCGCCTTCATTTCTGCCTTCTCCACAAGGGTACCCTGACACAAGAGGACCTCGATCACAACCCTACCACCCTTCTGCTCCTCCCAAAACAAAGTCTGATAACAGCATGCTTGGTGTAACAGAGTCTAGGTCACAACAGGATGATGATGTAGATGACGATTTCCTCATCCAACACCTTCTTCAAGCCCAGAGTCCTTCTCCTCAAGCATCCCATCACCATGCTCCTCAAAGCCATCATTCCTCACAGCCCACCCAGCAGCCTCCAGTCCTTCCAGCTCAGGATGGAAATAAGGGGCTTGCTTATGAGATGAGCAAAAGCTCGGAAGAGAGGTACCAACTTCAGAGTGTTATTCGAACACATAGTGCCACCTCTAATGCTGCCGTCTCTGGCACAGGGAGTGGAGCTGGACTAGACAGTCAGTTGGAGATGTCCCTAAAGAAACAGCAACAGCACCAACAACAGCAACAACAGCAGCATAAACAACCACATCAACAACAACCACAGCAGAAGAGCAACAGATCTGTAAGTGATGGAGGACGAGGTAGTTCAGATCAAACACATTCCCATCCTCACCATCATCATGATTCTCTGGGATCAGTGGTGCATTATGGGCGGGGTGACCCGTATTCCCAACACTCCATTCCTCAACAATCCACCTCCCACCATCAACACACTCCACATACACCCACCCACCCACACCTGCACTCTCACCCTCACATGGATCTTCAGAAAAAGCCTCAAGATTCAAGAGATATGGCTTACATACGCAAGACACCAGATGTGCAGCAACATCACCATCAGCATCAACAGGCACATCAACAGCAAACTCAACATCATCAGTCACATCCACAACAACATCAACAACAACCACAGCAGCAACAACATCTCTCCCAGTCACAGTCGCTTATGGACTCTCCCACTGACCAGTCTCACCAATCCCCTCATTTGTTGCAGTCTGTGTTGTCCCACACCCGCAGCAAGATAGACCCTCAGCAACAGCAGCATTCTGTAAGCCAGCAGGCCCTTATGGAAGCCACTGGGAGAGTTGTGTCAGCAGAGACCCATTCCCAGCCCCAGACATCCCAGCTCCAACTCCAGCTTCAGTCTCAGGCTATGGAAGCAGCTGGTCACTATGGTCATGGTACTCAGCAGCAAGACCAGAGCCGCCCTAAGTCTAACACAGTGTCTTCACTAGACATGCTGGAGCATTCCCTCTCTCAGACATCTAGCCAAGAGGGAGCGATGGTGGATGAGAGGACAGGAGGTGAAGGAAGCAGGGGAAATTCTGGAACAGGAACAGCAGGAAGTGTAGAAAGGTGTCAATCACAGGAGCAACAAAGACTTTCATCTCACCACCCAACGCAGCACCATGCTTCGGAGTTACACTCATATCTTGCTGAGCCAGACATGAGTTTATCGACAACTTCCCATGGACACCACCTATCCCACCATCACCACCAACAGCAACAATCGTCACAAGGTCCTCAACATCCTAACTCCCAACATCAACACCCTCACCCCTCCCATCCTAATCAGCAGAGCCATCATCACCTTCCTCCACAGGCCTCCTCAGCAGCTTCTCAGCAACAGGAGCAGTCTCACCCCTCTCATACCTCCCAGATTCCGCAACCTCAACTTGAGCAGCATCAAGGAGAAGCCCAATTTGACACCAGGAATCCAGCAGTGAAATCAACTCAAAACCAAAATCAAAGCCAACATAGCCAGAGGTTTGTTCCTTTAACATCCATCTGCTTTCCTGATGCTCTTCTCCCAGATGAGGACCGCTCATTCTTTCCTGGAATGGAGGATATATTCTGCCCGGAGGAATACAAATCCACTTGCTCAGGAGGAACTGGGCAGGGTCAAGATGGGGTTGCACCTGGCCAAGCAGTGCAGGAAGGAATGGAAGGAATTAAAACAACGCCTGGAGGAGGAGACAATACAGGTCAAAGTTACGATATGCTTGGCCATCACAGTGACCAGGGGTATGGGCAGTATTGCCACGATCTTTCAGAACATGACAATGGAACCATGCATTTGGATCTTGACTCCTTGAAGACTCATGAGCTCCCATCTACAGTCAACACAGAGCAGCTTGGACTGATCCAATCTCATTCAGCAAGCCTTGGAATGGGGACAACTGGAACAGTGGGGGAGGCATCTGGTGCCAAAATGGGAGGTACTGGGGGATCTGGGTCTGGATCTGGGGGTCTTACCTCTCCCATCTTCTGTTCCTCTCGCCCAAAGAAGCTCCTAAAGTCGAGTTCCTTCCATCTGCTGAAGGAAAGACCTGATCCAAACTCCTTGCCCAAGAAGAGCTATGCACAGGAGTATGAATTTGAAGATGACGAGGATAAGGCCGACGTCCCAGCTGACATACGCCTCAACAGCCGAAGCCGACTTCCTGATCTGATACCAGACCTCGTGTCCAGTTGTCGCAAATCAAGTGGTGTGGGAGGAGGAAGTTTAAGCCCTTTAATGGGTGATCTAGATTTTGGATACCCATCTCTTGGTCCCCCTCCACAGTTGATGCCACAAGATGGACTGAAGAAAAGAGGCAGGAGGCCCACAAAGCCTAAACGAGAAGGACCTCCAAGGCCACGTGGACGACCACGTATACGCCCATTGCCGGAACCTCACCACTCTAGGGGTATGATGGCAGAGTATGGAACAGGATATGTTCCTGAAAGAGGCAGAGGCAGAGGAAGAGGCAGAGGCAGAGGTAGACGTGATGAATCTATGATGGACATGGAGATGGCCAACAAAGACCAAAATCAGATGTATCAGCAACACATGCAGCAGCAAATGCATCACCAATCACAGCAGCAGCCACAGCATCAAGAGCCAATCAAACCCATCAAGGTAAGCTGTTCAAATTTAAAACTATAATCACTTAAAAATATATTCACAAAAATTTGAGAGAGGTTGTTGTGAATTCAAACATTCATAGTTGAAGATGAAGACAATATCGAGCGATAGTAGAGTTTTTTTTTTAAAGAATTGTTCAGTATTGGATATTTAATATTACATGCTCATTTCCCTCTATGAGCCATAACATTAAAATAATTACCTGCTTATCAGTGTCTGCCAGAATTTTATTATCGGTGCATTCCTAGTATAGCGCCCTATGATTTCCGCAATGCGGAAAACGCGGACGGTATCGCAGAATCCAGTCATAAAAATTGAATTTACTGTATAAAGAGGAGTGTCATGGAATTTGCCAAATTTTGGACAATTAAATCAAAAGTAGGTCCGTATACTTCAAATTGCTATATGGACTAGGGTCTGAATATTATTTCACAAAAATACTTTTTAAATATGAATCCTGCATGTTCTGCGTGTATCTGTTTGAATGAATGGCGGACTACATAACGCTCGTGGTTTTTCAGCCTCTGCCGTGTCAATATATGAGCACATAAACATAATTTCTAAAACTGCTACGAGAGTCACTTCATTTGAGAAAATCTACTGTCATATCATATACAGCAGAAACTTAAAGGTCTTCACAGCAGCAGCCCGTCAAAATAAAAGTTCGGTTTAACTTGAAGAAACTGTGACAGAAATATATTACTTCATGTAATGATAGTACTGCTACTAATAATAAAACTATTACTTAAAGTAATGATAGTACTATTAATAATAATACAACTATTATTGAGACATTAATTTCTTAGGAATATTTATCAGAAAAAGTTACTAGAAAAACATAAATACACAACACAGTATTTCTGAAAAAAATAAATAAAATAATAATAAATTATTTTTTTATAAAATCAGTTAAAGGCACAATATGTAAGATTTTTTGATTAAAATATCCCAAAACCACTAGAGTATGTGGAAAATAATGTGTTTTTTGAACCTTAAACAGCATAAACACATTTCATTACACCAAATACACAAAATAATGTTCTTTTTAGCAACATCATATGACCCCTTTAACTAGTGTAACGGACTTTTACCCCCACCCTGCTTCATACTACAGTGACCTTAATAAGTCTTTAATACATTAGTTCATCAATTAACATGATTTCTGCCCGAGTCCCGTCGGATTGCATCGGCTGTGGGGATGAAGACGACAACTCCCATGATTCCACACTCAGTCACGGCGTCATCAAACTACGCCTTTGTTTCTTGTTTGTTTTGAATATGCTCCCTCTAGCGACGAAAACTTACATATTGTGCCTTTAATTAGAAATACTTTTGATTATTATTTATTAGTTATTTATATTAATAGATTATTATCTATTATTTATTTGTAAATTAATGGAAAACACAGAATTTGGTAAAAATACAACTGAATTTGAGAGAAAAAAGTATTGCATAGGGCCTTAAATGTAATTTTTGTTAAACTTTCAATAAATTGCTGTTATATTTTGCAAGTTTAATTATTTCAATTAATTAGACATGCTTTTTAATGAATAACATTAAATGTAACCATTAAAACAGAGTCTAGAAAAATTTAAATGGTAAAAACGGAATCCACAAAAAATAAAACGGAAAAAAAATGGAATTTGGGGGGAAAAAAAAGGAATTTGGGGAAAAATAAAATGGAATTCATAGGGCCCTACTAATAGTTATTGAATGATGGGACAACTGCTTTGATAACATTCCAGGTTATTTTCTGTAATGTCTTGTTTCCCTTTATTAGATTAAACTTCCTGTTGGAACCATGTCATCTTCTGATGCTTTGTTGCGGACAGACTCCTTGTCGGGCACTGATCCGGCTCTCTCAGATGGTTCCCTTGGTTCAGCACCCTCTTTAGGATTGAGCCCTGGGACTCCCGGAGTGCCTGACATGAACAGACCTCAAGACAAGAAGTCCAAATCCCATGAGGTATGAGAATGCAGTGTAAAGTTGTGTTCGTGAGCATATTCTTACGCTTTTTTATCTAACGATAAATTCTGTCCTTTACTTTTAGTTGGAAGAGAGAGACTCAGAGAAGACTGGCTTTGTTGCCTCATTTCTAGATTTTCTTAAGTCTGGAAAAAGGCCATCAGGAATGTCAACGGGCTCAGCTGACAGCGCTGGAAATGAAGATGCGTCTCCTGGGAAAAGTGGAGGCATTCGCCCATTATCCCCTCAACCGCCACCTCCCCCAGCTGCTGCAGCCGTATCTGGATATGGAGATGGTGAAAGTGATGGAGGACTGTCTTTGGGTGGCTGTCCTAGCCCATGCAAGCGCTTGGATGAAGAGCTGAAAAGGAACCTTGAGACATTGCCCTCCTTCTCGTCCGATGAGGAAGACTCCGTCGGAAAGAACCAAGACCTGCAAAAGAGCATCTCCTCTGCAATCTCTGCTCTGTATGACACTCCGCAGCTCACCTCCTCAATGCAGCCTCCTTCACTTCCGTCACCCCCTCCTCCACCTCCTCCGGAACCACTGACACCAACACAGCAGCCACCAGCCCTCAGCCCTCAACCACCACTACATACACACCTGCCCTCGCATGCCCCCACCCACTCTGTTGAGCCTGCAAGATTGCAAAGAGAAGAGCAGGAAGAAGAAATGGAAGAAAAATTGAAGGATGTAGACGAGATTGTGGCGCAAGACAAGGAAGAAAAGGAGAAAGTCCCTGATATGGAGCTGCTGAGTGTCCCCAAATTTGGAGGTGAGGCTCATTTTTGGAAAGTAGGATGAATTAAGCATCTTTCGCAAACACCTGTGCTTTGTTAAAGGGATAGTTCACCCAAAAATGAAAATTGTCATTAATTACTCACCCTCATGTTGTCGGAAACCCGCAAGACCTTCGTTCATCTTCGGAACACAAATTAAGATATTTTTGATGGGATCCGAGAGCTTTCTCTAACCCAGCATAGACAGCAAGGGAACTACGACGTTCAAGGTCCAGAATCGTAGGAAAGACATCGTTAAAATAACTAATTTTATGAAGCTACGAGAATACTTTTTGTGTGCAAAGAAAACAAAAATAACGACTTTATTCAACAATTTCTTCTCTTCCAGTCAGATACTCACGTATGTGTCGTAGTACTCTCGTGAGAGTTGTTATTTTTGTTTTCTTTGCACACAAAAAGTATTCTTGTAGCTTCATAAAATTAAGGTTGAACCACTGATGTCACATGGACTATTTTAATAATGTTAAAACGATGTTTCTGGGCCTTGTGGTAGTTCTCTTGCTGTCTATGGAGGGTCAGAAAGCTCCTGGGTTTCATCAAAAATATCTTAATTTGTTTTCCGAAGATGAATGAAGGTCTTACGGGTTTGGAACAACACGAGAGTGAGTAATTAATGACAGAATGTTCATTTTTGGGTGAACTATCCCTTTAAAATAGGGCATTATTAAGACACAATTGAATACTTGTTTGCTGTTCTTTTGTTAATACTGTGGGAAGCTGAAAATTGAAGAGTACTCTTCTCTCTTGCAGACTCACCCAAAGAAGCTATCGAAGCCCAAGCTCCCCCGTCTCTCCCTCCAGTTTCCCCATCATCCCCTGCTCCCTCCTCCACCTCCTCGCCATCACCTCTTCCACCCCTCCCCCTTCCCTCTCCTCTCCCTCAACAGGAGGACAATCCTTCCCCCTCTCAGAAATCGCCACCACAACAGTCCTCGCCTCCACCCAGTCCTGAGGCTTCCTCTGTTCCTGTCCTCTCTCCTCTACCTCCTCCTCCTGCAGAGCCTCCTCTATCCTCTAGCCCACCTTCGCCCAGTCCACCTCCAGTACAGGAATTTATTGCAGAGCCCGCCTCTCCTGAAGAGCCCCCTGCACCTCAGATTTTACCGTTGCACTTGGCACAGAAACAGAGCGGTGCTGCCATTGTTGGCGAGACTGATGAGGATGAGAGTGAGAGTGGAGGCGAGGGTATTTTCAGAGAGAGGGATGAATTTGTGGTACGGATTGAGGACATCAGGAATCTGAAGGTACATCAGTGCATTCTGTTTCTTTTTTAGATCTTTGCCAGCATGTGCATTATACATATATGTATTGTTTATGATGTGGTATGTAGGTTTAATTTGGTGTGTCTCTCCCTAGTTGGCCCTGCAGACAGGAAGAGAGCCACCTCCCATTTGGCGTGTACAGAAAGCTCTGCTCCAGAAGTTTTCCCCTGAGATTAAGGATGGACAGAGACAGTTTTGTGCCACTAGTAATGTGAGTCATGACCAGTCACATCATTTGTAAAAAGCTGCACACAATGTTTCAGCTATTTCTGCTGTTTATTTATTTTTACTTCTTATTTATTAGTGCTGGCAAGCATCACTGTTATTGTGATTTTACGAAACTTCTACTTGTAATGTTACTATTAATTTTCAGAATGAGCAGACTTTCTATTTTTGTCTAATGGAACTGTCCCTTTAAGTGACGGATGATTCTGTGCTTTGTTTTTGCATTTGTATGAGGTGAATTTTGTGTCACTGTAAGTTTCTAATGTTATGTCCTCTTTTGTCCCCTTCTCCTCAATTTCTCTGCTTCCTCTCAGTATCTGGGTTTCTTCGGGGATGCTAAAAAGCGCTACCAGCGGCTGTATGTGAAGTTTCTGGAAAACATAAACAAAAAAGACTACGTGAGGGTCTGTTCCCGTAAGCCCTGGCACAGACCTACTGTCAACCTGAGGTATTTCGACCCCTTTATCTTGCTGTCTCGTCAAGTCAATGAGACAGTGACTTCACACACAGACAGCATTTGAGTGTGAAGGCATCTCCTAAAAAATGGGTTCAGACTACCAAGGCACCAATGAATTATGCCTAATGATCTAAAACAGATCAGAATGAGCTTTATTGATACTGTTACTTCACTCCTTTCAGCTTCCAAATTTACTTTATTCCAGCAATATTTAAATTTTTTTCCACCAGCCATTAAATTGCATACACAGGATTGTGAGAAATCATAGGCAAATGTATCTCTTTAAAAGCCAGCAGATGCAGACATCTTTGTAGACAGGATATTGTGCAAATGTTAGATTGGCATATCTTGTTCCCTCATCGTACTACATGTGAGGGCAGCATTTTTCAGATTTCAGACACATCCTATTTGACAGTGTAAAAGTTACGATGTAAAGGGCTGTTCGCACCAAGAACCACAACAATAAAGTTTTATTAATCATACTAATTTTATGAGAACAGGGAAATCCACACCACCGCTATAAAAACAAGGAAATAGACGAACAATATCACTGGAATCACTTTTAGAACATTTTTTTCCACCTGATGAATGATAAAAACATTGACAGCCAATCAGAATCCACCCAAACTTAAAAGAGCTTGAGCAAGCTGTCATATGTTGGTGTGGATGCTGATATGGCTACTGTAATGTCCCTTAATGGTTACATTTGATGGCCCTTAATGTTTATTCATCTAGGGTAGTGTAGTTTGCATGTTTTGTACTGTTGACATGCTTGATAAAGGTGTTGTTTTTTTTACTTTTTAGGAGACAGTCTCAACCACTCCCGAAGTTAGCGCCACCCCCCAACAACCAGACTCCCTTAGAGAGGACTGAGAAAGACAGAGAGAAGATTAAGGAGCCGCGGGAAAGCCGTGAGAAGAACAACATTCGGCTAAAGGAACAGCGGGACAAAGAAAAAGTGCTTAAAACCAAGGAGAAGGAAGAAAAGAAAGAGAAAGAAAAAGAGAAGAAAGCCTCACCTCCTCCTCCGCCACCTCAGAAGTCTGAGAAACGGGCAACGGTGACAGAACGAGGGAAGGTGAAGGAGAAGAAGACTGAACGCTCTGCCAAACCTCAGCCGCCAAAGGTGAAGGCTGATCCTCCGCCCAAGAAACGCAGGATGTGGCTGAAGGAGGTACCCTCGTCCTCAGACTCTGACTCCTCAGCAAGTGAGGATGAAAGTGAGTATACTTTTAACGTGTATGGCATGTAGTGGTCGACCGATATATCGGCCGATATTTGGCATTTTTCAATCATAGATCCGCGTATAGTAAATGAGGCAAGGGTGTAGAGTTACATTCAAGCTATTTTAAGGCATGAGAAACTTTTCACAAGAAAAAACATTTAAATATGTCATTTTGATTATCAAAGATAAGTTTTAAGGGATAATATATTTGACCACAGGGGGACTTTAAACAAAGGAATTAAAATGTATGCAAAAAAGTATTATAATGATTGCTTTTATGTTGTTAGTAATAGAAAGGCAAACATTATAATACTTTCTCGTTTGCCGTCAGCATTCAGCAAATACACATTTAAATCATTTAAACAGATCTTTGAATGACTAATGAACATCTAATTTCAAAAACCTTGCAAAATTAGTTGAATCCAGCTGTGAGATCTTATGAAGTGTGCATTTGTATTCCTGCACGATCGCGTGTTCTCTGCGTGACGGTCGGTCCGTGTGAATTGAATACGGACAGGAGGAGAGTTCAGCTTCACTGAGACGCGCGATCGACAAACTTTAAACTCGTGATTTCAAATTATGCTGCGCTTCATGCTTTTGCCCAGTGTCATATTCATGTCATTTTCACTGTGTGCTGTATGTAAAATGAGTGTTACCTTGGCTTTATTTGAAAAAATGTGATTCCCAATGCACACAAACTTCCCAGAATACTGACTGCCCTGTTGGTTATACTGTTTACTTCCTTTTTAAATTATATTTTTATTAAATATTTGTTTATTTGTGAAAAATACTTTGTCATTTATAGTATAAGCATGTTTATTTTACACATTTATAATCCATTTTTTAATCCATTTTCAAATTATTTAAAATTTCTTAAATATTAAATAAAATTATATCCCCTTTATATCGGCTATCGGCCACCCTGCTTTCCAAGATATCGGCATCGGCTGTCAAAAAACCAATATCGGTCGACCACTAATGGCATGCATTTGTGACAAATTGACAGAAAACCGTCACATTTATTAATTTATTATATTTTACCCAGAAATTAAAAGAAAAAAAAGGAAATTATGTTTTGCATAGAAAAGAAAAGCTCAGTTCAGTTCAACTTGTAGTCCATTTACATTAAAACAACATACAAAATTATAACCATACATATTACCACATGTTATATTACTATACATAAAATGAAAAATAATCTGAAAATGTAATTATTATAAATAATTTCACCTAGATTAAATTTTTTGCTCTTAATGTTTGCAGATATTAATAAAACATTTAAAAATTGCATTACATCCATTTTTTTTCCTAAGAAACATCAAGAATAATGGAAATAATATATTTTAAAAAACTAAATGAAAACTTGTATGTTCATTACTGTAATCAAAACTTTGTTGGAGGAATTGTTGAAGGCATAATTGTCACGAAAATATTGTCTGAAAAATGTAAAATTTTACTTTTTTTGTCTTAAATATATGCTTGAATATAAAATCTTTTTTCTTTGGATTTTCAGGTGAAATGTGATTGGTTTTTGTGCAATTCGAATGCAAAATGACTTAAATTAGTAGGCAGTGTACAGTTAAGATGGTGGGTTGTTGTGAATGTAACTTGATGTGTGTCTGTCCAGCAGTCTCAGTGAAAGCGGGCCTGAACACACGAGCAATGCGTGAGATGTACCGGAGCTACGTGGAGATGCTGGTCAGTACGGCACTCGACCCGGACATGATTCAGGCTCTAGAGGACACAGAAGGTAAGCAAATGTGATTACCGTAGCGCTCTGTCATCATCAGAACATGAGATGAAATTCACCCATCTCCTTGCATTACCGGTTATTTCAGATGAGCTCTATCTTCCTCCAATGCGCAAGATCGACAGCCTTCTGAGTGAGCAGAAGAGGAAGCTTTTGAAAAGAGTCAATATGAACTCTCAGCACCAGGTACTTCATGTTATTATTTGTGCTTGCTTGATTTCTTTTCTTTTTTTTGTGTTTTTATTTAATTGCTCAGTTTCTCTTTCATGTCCCTTAAAAAAAGCATCTATTATATAATATCCATTTCTGATGTTGCCAATAATTAGAGATGCACCGAAATTCCGGCTGCCAAAAATTAGTTCACCGCTCCGGTTTCACTTTCACGTGGTGTGACACTGCGTAGCGCTCCACTCATTTACCGTTCATTAAAGCCCTGCACGGGCCTCAAATTTAGGCCCTGGCCTGAGACGCTCAGGCCCTAGCCCGATCCGTGTCTGACAGCTTATGCCGGTGCTTTGCGGCAAGCTTAAGCCTATTGTGTGCATTTGAACGCAGAACTGTTCAGCTGCACTGAAGGCACGCACTAGACATGCTGCTGCTGCTGGCGGGACAATAAACACCGTCGAGCCGTAGATCACCGTAGATCTTTACAGTCGCGGCAGCATGGTCTCGTGTTGTTTCCACCAGCGCAGCAATTTTTTTCATCACTAATTGATGGATGTCTAAAATATAAAAATAAGGAGAAGCCTAAAACAGGCCCGAGGTCCGGCCCGCGTCTGACGTGAAAATTGGCCCGAAGCCCGGCCCAAGGGGCGTAAAAAAGTCAGGGCCCGTCGGGCCTGGGCTGAAATACAGGGCTCTACCGTTCATGCTAATGAAACAGCAAAGTCTACAGGACTACAGGAAACATCTATGTAGTACAGTATTGTTTCTGTTTGCAATAGCCCTACTGTGCTGTGACATGGTTTGGCATATAGGCAACTCTGGAAATGTTATGCTCACGTGTTCTGATAATAACAGCTTTCTAGGACTAAACATTATTTGGATAATTGAGGAAAAAAAAAACAAAAAACAAAAACTAAATCTCTTACACAGCCCTACTGTGTTAGACCTACCTGAAAAACTAAAAAGCAATTTATTTCATTTTTAGGCCTATCGTTATTTTTTATTTGTGCTATCATTAGTAATTTATTTATTTGTTCTTATTTTATTACTGACTGCATGCTTGTCATTTTTTATTTAATTCAAAGTTTGAAATCAAGCTATCTCGTGCTACTGCAACAAAATTACCCCACTGTAAAATCAAAAATACACTGAGTGAGCAAAAATTTGTGAGATTTTAAAACGCATCTGATTACAGCGATGTGGATGTTTGCACAAGCTCTGCAGTTCAGTACTCCAGTAAAGTCCAGTCAAGTCACGTTTATTTGTTTAGTACTTTATGCAATAGATAGCCTTAAATCAAGCAGCTTTACAGTATTAAACATGAAAGTCAGTGTCGCTTTCAGTTAGAATTACAACTTGATTTTCTGTTATAACGCAGCTCTCCAGTGTGGAGCTAGCTAATGATAAAATCTTTTTATTAGTGGGGGAAAAACGTTTCATTAAAGTTATAGTTTGGTTTGCAGAGATCAAAGCTTGATCTAGCTCAGGACTGTTTTGATTATCATAACCCTATAAGGTATTTTAAGAGAGATTGTTGTGAATAAAATAGTTTATCCAAAAATAAGACATCTTATCACTTAACCTTTATTTTGTTTCTTATCCATATGACTTACAAAAAGAGATTTTAGGCAGAATGATGTGTCATTCGGCTACTTTCTCATATAGCTAATTAAATGGTGTATAAGAGTTTCTCTGCTCATTTCTCTCTCATTTTGTGTGCCAAAATATTTATTTGTATAAATTAATTGTATAATTGTTTTATATATATAAATAACTAAATAATATGACTTTCAACAGCTGAAGTGATTACGTTAATTAATTTGTTAGAATATGTATAACTCAATATATTAACTAATTGCAAAAGATGAATAATCAAAAAATGTCTACCGCAAAATAATCGATGACCAGTCGATTAATCGTACTAATAATCGTTAGATTAATCGATTATCAAAATAATCATTTGTTGCAGCCCTACTTAGCAACAGTGACCACGTTTTGAAAATCAAGGACTTTCAAGCACCTTTTCTCTTTTCCAGCATCTTTTTTTTTTTTCAAGGACTTCATATAATCTGTTTTTCTTAGTTGATTTGTTTCTCACATTTCTTTCATCCTTCACAGAATATAATATATGAAAAGAATTCAGACTATGGACAGAATTTAAACTAAGTTAAATGTCTACTTGCATATTAATTTCTGTTCTAAAAAATAAATGAATACAGCCCATAGGCAGCAGCCTTGAGCAATGCAATTAAATTAAACACTACACTTAAAAACCGCTTTTCCTGAAATAATAGCCTTTTAATGATTATTCAGTATGCTGATTTACCTGAAGTTCAGAAATGACTGTGGTGATTTCTTCTTCCACCTTGTTTTAGACACTAGTTGCATTATGTATAGTGTCTTGCTACTGTATATTCACAATGAAAGTTCACAACGCATTCTTACCTGCTGGATAATTAAAAACACTGCAGATATTAATTAATGCATTTTATACTACGGGGCCGTTGAATGCTTGAATCTGATTGGCTGACGGACATTCTAAGGTGTGTTTACCTTGTTTGAACCCTGTCGCAGCCATTTTGAATTTCCTTGTGTTTCTGCTCCACAGGAAGCTCTTCACACTTTCCCTCAGATTACGGCGGAGTCCCTGGACTCGGTGACGGTGAGGGTCAGACTGAGTGGTGAATGCTACAACCGCAAAACGCTGAACCGCATCAAAAAGAGTGTTCCCAAACCACAGGTCAACAAAACCTTCATTTTTTGCTGCAAACATCTGAATCTGATTTGATTATGACAGCTTCACAGCCCTACCCCTTCATTTTTAAATAGAACGAATAGGACTGTCTGTTTATTCTTTATTTACTTTATTTGATTTCATTTATTATTATTAAAAAAAAAAAGAATGCTTTTATTCATCAAGGCTGCATTATATTAATCAAAAGTGACAATTCCAGAAAAAATGTGTCACCGTTTCCACAAAAATAAAGTCTTTTCAAATTTAGTATTAATCAGAAATGTTTCTTGAGCAGCAAATCAGCATATTAGAATGATTTCTGAAGGATGATGTGACACTGAAGACTGGAGAAACAATACTGAAAATTCAGCTTTGCATCACAGGAATAAATTACATTTTAAAATATGTTCAAATATAGAACAGTAATTTTACATTGCAATAATATTTCATCATATTGTTAACGTTTACTATCTGTACTGTGTTTTTCATCAAATAAATGCAGCCATGGTGAGCAAAAGAGACATTTTTCAAAAATATCTTGGCAACCCTAGACTTTTTTTTTTTTAATGCGGGTGCAATTTTAAATGATTCAATAATTGAAATGATTTTATTAGCTTTATTAACTAACGATGAACTAATGATAATGATGTTTTTTGTTTGTTTTTATTTAGCTTACTTGTAGAGAAATACAAAACACGAGCAGCATATCATATAATTAAATAAATATAACAATATTTTGAATCCATTGACAGCCCTAATAATTAACAATGACAATGTAGAACGGATAAAAGAATTAATAACATGCCACCCTTCCTGTCTCCTCCAGGACCTCAAGTTGTCAACAGAAACATGTCGACTCTACAGTCTCTACCATTCGCTGCATCATTATAAATATCACACCTTCTTACACTGTAAGAAAGAGGTAAGCATTGAACTGCATTTCCCATAGGCAACTGCAGCAAACAAACGCCATGCGAATCTTCAATGAGATTCTCCGTCTTTTCTTTCAGACAAACACTATAGAGCAGGCTTCAGAAGATCCCGGACAAGAGGAAGTTGTTCAGCAGTGCATGGCCAATCAGAGCTGGCTGGAGACACTCTTCAACACCTTCTTAGAGCTGATGACCCTCAGCACCAAAGCTTAAGACAGAGAGGAAACATGAAAATGGAGAAACGTTGAGGAATGTACAAAGAAGCTGGGTTTATTGTTGCCTAGCTCTCCTGTCCTCCTCCTCCTCGGTTTTACAGAAATCTTTCTTTTAAACGGCGACAGGAGAGGACCAGGCCGCCAGACAGTAACTTTATTAACTCTTTACAAACGCCTGCAAAAATGCAGGATCCCTCCTGAACGTTCAGGCAAATGGATGTGACCAAACTGAGATCCGATTTTAACGAATTTTCACTGAATCCGAAGGAAATGGTACACAGAGCTACGGTTGACGGAATATACTGTGTGGAGTCTTTATACTTTGGAATCGTGGGAATTACTGACAGGAGGAATTCGCTTCGCGACGACACTAGGAGGAAGTCTGTCACTGAATTTTACACGAATAATTTTTTTAAGACAATAGCAGTTTTATTCCAGCTTTTTTTCTGAAACGAGAGCGAGAGAGAGAGAGAGACGGTTCTGTTTTATAAACGAGCGCAGATGGGAAAGCAGTCACGGGAAGATGATGCGTGCAACGACGTGATGACATTCAACGCTTTAGTCAACACACGTGAAACAAGTGAGCTAAAGTAATACATTTTTATTATTTATAAAGACATTTTTAACAGGAGTTCACACGTACAGTACAAACCAGTGATGCTTCATATAAAACGGTTCAAATAATCTTCCTTCAGATGTTATAAATGGATCTTATTGCCACATTCTGAGCCGTCTTCCTTTTTGCTCATCCAAGGTGGGTAGATAGATACCATGGAAAATGTATTATCGTTTTTATCTGTTACAGAAGAGAAAAAGACAAGAGTAGAACAAATTATTCAAGCTACGCAAAACGGTATTATTGCAGTGCATTCTACAGTGAAAATAAGTGGAATTGAAAGCGAGAGCGAAGCATCTGGTTCCCATTAGGGAGGGATTATGTATTAGTACTATTTAAAATGGAACTTTGTTTTTATTTGTTTGTCTGTCTGTATTCTGAGTATTATTTTGGAGCAATCTAATACTGTGCTTCTTTCAAAAGTAAAGCCTTTGTGTAAATATTGTACAGCTCTTGACAGAAATCTCCCGGTTCTTCTGTACATGGACTATCCCTGTATTTGACAAACAAATAAAACCATCTACAACTACATTGTGTCGAATGAGACGCTGCTTTTCTCCTCAGGTTTACGGTGAGAAGTCTCCGTTCACTGGAAAAGAACTATTGTGACGGGTGTAATGATCACAGTTATGTCGGATCTTTTGAAACCGTTTTTGGCTTCAACAGAACTTTCTTCCCTAAATGACTGAATGCAAAGGTTTGTACTTTTTCTTGAACTTTGGCCATGACTTCATTACAGTTCCTCTTTTTCCTGTTACTGTTTATTATTTCTGTTGTTCTACACCACATGTTCTCTATATCTTCTCGTTAGCAATTCCTTACCTTTGCAGCAAGTTATTTCCAGCCAGGAACTTAAAAAGGACAAAATGTCTCGCTCTTTTCTGATAATAGAAATGTCTTGGAATATTTTCCAAAAGTATAACAAGAAAGTACAACTCTGACCTACAATTTACATAAATTAGCAAATATGCAAAGTCAAAAAGTACATCGCCACTGAATTATATTGTATTATACAGTATTTTTTCTGACCCTAATGAACTTTACATTCTTAGTTTCGTAGACAATTATAACTTAGAACTTACGTTTTTTTTTAACAGATGGAGAAGGATGGCAGTTTTGATTGTTTTGATAAATATAATGTTGATGATTATAATGTGGAAACTATTCATAATAGGAAATACAAATAGGCGTGTGCAGGTTTTGTGCATTATTAAGCACTTCAGTATATATATATATATATATATATATAGGTGCTGTCAAACGATTAATCGCGATTAATCGCATCCAAAATAACAGTTTTTGTTTATGTAACGTGTACTGTGTATATTTATGTATATATATAAATACACACACATACAGTATACATTTAAAAATATTTACATGTTTATATTTATATAATTTATATTATATATAAATACATTTAATATACACATATAACGTATTTTTCTTAAATATATACATGCATGTGTGTGTATATATATATACATAATAAATATACACAGTACACACATATTATGTAAACAAAAACTTATTTTGGATGCGATTAATCGTTTGACCGCACTAATATATATATATATATAGCAGGATTATTAGATGATAAAAGAAGGGAAGTACAGCTCTGCATCAAATTCCCACTAAAATATATATAAATGAATCTGATAAATGTGCTAATTAGTAACATATTAAAGTGGTTAATTCAACAATATGTTTAAAAAAATGTCGTTAATGAGTTTTACGTTGTTCAAACCTATGTTATTCAATAGTCGTATCAAATAGATTTTCTTTTGAATGATCGTCTCCGCCATCTAGTGCTCATCTGAGGTAAGAAACTCCTGCAGCGACGTGTGCAATGGCCTCAAAATAGGAAATCGAAACTGACGGATTTCCCGAGTAATGTTTAACACCTGATCGTAAGACACAAACTGCTGAAGAAAGTTCAGTATTAAAGCAGCACTGACGAGAAAAACACGTCTCATCGTCCACACATCTGAAGAGCTCGCTGAAGAACACGACAGGCCACAGAACGCACGGTCGCTGTTGTTTATACCATTAAAGAACGATAAGTGTGTTTTTCTTATTATACTTAAGGTTTATTATACGAATGCATTCGATTTATACAGAATGTCTTCCTAAGATAGCTCATTTTTAAAATGAAAATGTTAACTGTGATATAAGTGTTTATAATTGTATAGTTAACAATATTAAGTTTCAGACAGTGACAGCTGTATTTTATGGTTTTGTTGCACTTGTGAGAGTTTGTGTATGACTATACGGATATTTCAGCATGGTTTTGGTTGCTTTGTTTGTGCAGGTACATTGTACATGCATCATGGCTCAACCAAAACCGCTCTTTGTGCCCTGGCTGTGTGAACAAATCCAAAGTGGAAGTTATCCTGGAGTGTGCTGGACCCATAAAGAACAAAGACAGTTTAGCATTCCCTGGAAGCATGCTTTAAGACAGGACTCCAACAGTGATGATGTCCTCATATTCAAGGTGAAAATAAACATTATTTGTCATTCATCATTAATACATTTCTATGTAGAAGACCCTATTTCAGGACAATAATTACTGTACCATATTTGTGGCATCCCTTGTGAAAAGAAGTGTGTTTAATTATATTAAATGTGCACTTGCAATACTACAAACTATGTAAATGTACGGGCAGGTAATATAATATTTATGAAATAGTGCACTTTGTAATAATGTCAAATTAAAAGTTTCACTTTAAGGTGTTTTGTCGTGCTTTAAAGTACACTTACTTTTATGTATTGACTAGCATGCTAAAACAAAAGTACATGATTGTAATTTTACCTGTAGTGTGTTACTACTGTACATTGAAAGGTAATATTTTTAAGTGTACTAAATTGCAACTTTATATAAATCAATACATGTGTAATTAGACATTTGCAGCAGTGTTACAAATGTTTAATTACAAATATATTTAAATACATGGTTCAATAGAAGTTACATTAACATATATTTGTGCTGATATACTTGTCAGTGCACTTGGCCATACAGTTTAATCACATAAAACAAATAGAATTATGAAATTACAGGTACTTAAAGGGTTAGTTCACCCGAAAATGAAAATTAGCCCATAAATTACTCACCCTCAAGTCATCCTAGGTGTATGTGACTTTCTTCTTTCAGACGAATCCAGTCGGAGTTATATTAAAAATAGTCTTTGATCTTCCAAGCTGTTTAATCGCAGTCAGTGGGTGTTGCAGTGCTTCAGTCCAAAAGAAGTTAAATAAAAAGCGCCCATCCTTAATAAAAAGTGTCTCACATGGCTCCGGGGGGTGAACAAAGGGAAAGTCATATACACCTAGGATGGCTTGAGGGTGAGTAATTTATGGACTAATTTTCATTTTTGGGTGAACTAACCCTTTATGTCCTACTTAAATGGGTCAAAACTGCAAAAATGCATTTAATGTATATTTAAACTGTAATATATTTTCATTTAATTGCAAATAATGTGCAGTTAAATGTCCTAAAACATGCACTTAAGTATACTGTTTTTATTTTTTTTTATTTTTACAAGGGATTGTATTTTACACGAGTAAAAAATAAGTATTATTATATTATTTCAAGTACCCCAAGGTAATAATAATACTATGGTAATTCAGTGGGATATTATTAGTACCTTATATTCTACCAAAGAATTACTACACTACCATTACAATCAGCATTTATACATTTATATTTATTATCATCAGGCAACACCACATATTATATTTAATGTAAGTAATGCATTGTAGAATTTTTTGAAGTATCTTTGAGTACCAAGTAAATACCTATATCAATATAAATCATTCAGTACAAAAGTATGTATCACAGAACCACGGCATTATCATCAGAGCAGACATGTTATAACCACAGGAGTCCCTTTCTTCTGATATCTGTATTTTGTCCCGTCAGGCCTGGGCTCAGACGAGTGCCGCTGGAGATGGCAGGTTAAATGGAGATCACTCTGTTTGGAAGAGAAACTTCCGTAGCGCTCTTCGTGCAAAAGGCTTCAAGATGATATTTGACAAAAAGAACGATGCCGCTAATCCACATAAAGTCTATCAGTTTCCATCTGAACCTCATTCTGCAGGTAGGAAACATTACATTTGTGGTTGCTGCCATTAAGAAGATTGATTGAACTGTTAAATCTGATATTTGTGTTCTCTCCTCTTCAGCTTTGGGATCTGAGGGCTCTCAAGAGACTGATGCGAGTATCTGTTTCATCACATTTGTCTGTTTTTTTTTTCTTTAAAGCACTCTCAAGCCTCTGGCATCAGATAAGACATACACACACTGACTTGGGAAATTTGTTTTCCATTTTTAGTTCTCACCAGATCTATATGTGGAGGATAGCGACATGTTCTCTAGTAAGACAGCATTTTATACCCAGCCATGCATTTGTTTTATAAATTTGTGAGGTAGGCCTTTCATCGTGATGACAGTGTGTTTTACTTTTATATTTCTTAGCACATCCACCCCAAGGATTGGAGCAAGATTTCACAGGACTAAACCTTAAGGAAAGTCCCTCACGAGGTAGATTGAAAAGACTAGAAAAGATACTATATTTTCATTATAGCAGGTTGTAATACAAAGCATTATATGCTATAGATTAATTGATTTGATTGCCTTTATTTTAGGTTTTTAGTCTCTGTATGGTTGGATAATGTTCAATATAGTATTTTATACTATAGTATTATAGTATTTTTTTTACAATCATGCCAATAAAATGAAATTGAAATAGCATTTTATTTTAAAAGATAATTGTTTTATTATATATCCATCCATCTCGGAAGGAGGCAAGTTTATTATATATATTGCTATTATAAAAGTAATATATTATATATTAAAATTAATATACCTACACGTTATCTGTCAAATAGAATAATTATGATTTTTTGAGATGTCTCTTATGCTCACCAAGTCTGCATTTATTTATTAATTTGATTAAAAATACAGTAAAAACTGTAATTTTGCCAAATATTATTACAATTCAAAATAACAGTTTTCTATATGAATATGTTTTTTAAAATGTAATTTATTCCTGTGATCCATGCTGAATTTTCAGCATCATTACTCCAGCCTTCAGTGTTACAAGATCCTTCAGAAATCATCCTAAATTTGTGATTTATAAAACGGATAGTTCCAGTCCTTGATTCTAATTGGTTGAGCCGCGTTCGAAGCTGTTGTTTACTTTGTGTGTTGCTTGGCAACCGCTTTGTTGCAACCATAGACTGTATAAAAACATGGACGTAGTGTCCGTGACGTCAGCCGTAGATTTCCGAAGAGCGTTTTTGAATCTCAAAAGTGGGCGGAGGCGGCCGTCGCCATCCTGGCAGCGCGTCACCGCGCGTCACCCCCGGATAATCGAAAATGGGCAAACAGTCGATGAATTGCAGTTTTAGTCACTTCCGTGTTGGCTTCACGAGAGAGGTTGCCACTTGGTTGCAACCACAACTGTTTCTGAGGTACTACATGGACTTTTTTCACATTTCCGGTGCAACCCTCTCCTCCTTCACTGTTGTCACTCCTCGGCTGTGTCCGAAATCGCCCCCTATACCCTCATTCACTATTCCCTACATTAGGTCACTAATTCAGTTCACTAGAAGGAGTGAATGAAAATGAGTGAGTGAGTACACTGAGTGCACCGGAAGGACTGCCGCTTTTGCATAGTTGGTGCTTGCTGTTTATTAATCATTTGAAACTGGCAAACTAGCAGCTCCAGTAGTAAGATTAAAGGATTTATCTTGAACTCTGTCACGGAAAATATGTACAAACCCTAATTAAACAATTTAATAATCAATTTATACCTGTGTTGTAATATGCTGTACTTCTGCCTGTGTTTTTTTTTTTTGCATTCCCATTTGCTCAAATAGCAAAATAAAAACTCCACGATAGTGTTTTCATGACTTTCAATAAAAGGAAAAAAATATTATGAGACTGATAACGGCTGTCAGAAGAGAGAACGATGTCAAATTTACCATCCCTCCCATAGACGCTGCGTTAGAAACACCCTCGCATTAGCGTTAACTGTTTTTTTGTAATTTTATGCAAAGGTGTTATAATACAAAGAATAGTGGTATAAATGTACATACATTTTTTTAAAATTACAAATATGAAAAACTTTCGAGGATTTACGATGCTGAAAAGGGTTCAGCTTGTGGGATTGTGAAAAGGGTCCATTGTTTGGTGGAAGAATACTGTTTTTATTAATATCATTACACTTTATTTGCTCCGTTTTATTTTGTGAAACCTTACTACGTATATGGAATAACCGTTTTATAAAAGCAATAAGCCCCGTGAAGCCGTGGTTTACAATGAATTTATAACCGCTAAGGTCACAGGGCTTATTGCTTTAATAAATTACACTTAAAGATATATTCAAATGGAAAACAATTCTTTTAAACTGTTTTTACTTTATGTAATAAGTGCAGCACTGGTGAGCATAAGTCACGTATATAATGATTTAAAGGGCAGTGTATTGTGTATGTGTACAGCCTTTTCATTTTTATTCCAGTTCATGAAGTTTGGAATCCAGATCAGTTATATCTGGGGCTCGAAGATCAAGGACTTTTCCAAGAAACCAGTCCATGTCCAGAATCCCAGTATACCGAGCTCCATTATCAGATAATTGATACTCATGCGCCCTTTTCTTCACCTGAGGGTGGTGTTGGTGTTTTGGGGCAGATTTCGCCGCCTGAGGGGGCGACGGCTGCGTATCAACCTGATGGTGAAGGTGTGGGTCATCAGGGTAGCATTCCTATGCCAAAACTGGGTAGGTGGATCCCAAGATCATCACATATTCACATCAATTACTGGTGTTTGATTACTCACACAGCTTTATTTCTATTCATATGTTTTCCTCACAGAGACATTTTTTCGGATTAAGGTTTATTATAAAGGGAAGATGGTGAAGGAACAGTTGGTGGAGAATGACACTGGTTTCAGACTGACGTATCAGGGAAACATGTTGGTATTTTTGTACTTGATTCATCACTGATCTTCAAATCAGCACCACTGGTTATGTTTCCTAACAGTATCCTGTTAGCTCCCACAGGGACTGTTTCCGTTCAGATCAAATCACAACAACGTAGGAAACAGATCGTACTAAGACATACTATTAAGAGATATAGAGTGATTTATATGCATTTTATGCTGTTATAAAAGTCTGACTGATTTACATTACAAGCTGTCACAATTTCATCTTACTTCTTGACCATATAAATATCAACATCTGCACCAAATTTCATATCTTTGCGCATAAAATGTGTTATAATTTGAATAAGTCAAATAAAATAAAAAATGTATGTTTTATTTTCATCTTTCCCATTCACTCTCTCTTTATATGGTTTCTTTAGGTTATTCTGACTTCACTGGAGGATTTGAAGACGATGGCTGTCGCAAACGGGGCGTCTTCACTGGAGTCGGTGGAGCTCCAGCTCTCTCTGGAGCAAATGATGGAGTTGTGTTAAAAAGATAAAGAGGAAAGACTTGACTGCACACTTACCGGGCTCCTAAATTGAAACAGTTTCTTAAACAGTTTACTTAGCGGTGACTCCATGGTTAATTGTATTTATTGAAGGTGTGTGGACTAATACTGGAGAGCAGAATTTCAGTAATGGTACAAAGGAATTGTCAATGATTCTGCAGATAAAAATGCAAAGATAAGTTTACAAGTGTGGTCAGTTTTCAAATAGATCTTGTGTTGTGTGCTATGATGAAAGAACGAGAATGAAACATTTAAAAACGGCTAAAATCCAAGTCTAATGTGTGTTTTGAGTCTGTTTTACACTACCACAGTTCTCTTACACAATATTGTGAATAATGTTGTCTATTTACAGTATGCTCTTTAGTCTTTTCTTGGCCTGAATTTCATTGTTGTTATATCTTTGACAGTAATCTGAACTGAATGCGAACTGTTGTTCCATTGCCGTGTCGTGTTTCTTCAGCTTTCTTTTCAGCTGATATGAACTAAGAGGTTGGCATTTAGTATTGCGGTCATGTAAAACCTGGAAATTTCAAGGATTTCTCTGTTTTTTCCAGGCCTGTTCTTCAATGTCGTGGAAACGTCAAGAACATTTCTATTCTACAATATACATTGTGGTTATGCCCTGTTCCAAACATTTCATTGGAAAGATATTGATTTTGAAGAGTAAAACCTGATTGCAAGCCATGATATCAGATTTTTGAGTGAATCATTTGAGCCAGTTCTATACAATGAATCAGTCAAACCGGTTCACATGCAAGTTTAACATTTAATATTCAGCTATGTGGAGAGGGATTTTTGCACCAATGAGATTTCACTGTGGGCGGAGCTTCTCAGGGCCACACAACATAAATAAAAACCAAGAACCCCACAACATGTCCTGCCACCTGTTCAGGACACTAGCGGATACAACTAACTTTTACCACTGATTCTACATTCACAGAAAAGAAATGAACATTTAAAGAACATAGAATCCTTCACAACACATAAATGCATTGACTAATTGAATAATTATGATGTAATCTTTATTATTTGTGACCCTGGACCACAAAAGCAGTCTTAAGTCGCTGGGGTATATTTGTAGCAATAGCCAACAATACATTGTATGGGTCAAAATTATAGATTTTTCTTTTATGCCAAAAATCATTAGGATATTAGGTAAAGATCATGTTCCATGAAGATATTTTGTAAATTTCCTAACATAAATATATCAAAACTTAATTTTTGATTAGTAATATGCATTGCTAGGAACTTAATTTGGACAGTTTAAAGATGATTTTCTCAATATTTAGATTTTTTTGCACCCTCAGATTCCAGATTTTCAAATAGTTGTATCTCAGCCAAATATTGTCCGATCCTAACAAACCATACATCAATGGAAAGCGTATTTATTCTCAATTTCAAAAAATGACCCTTATGACTGGTTTTGTGGTCCAGGGTCACATTTATATATATATACGCTACCTTTCAAAAGTTTGGTAAGATTTCTTTAATGTTAATTAAAAAAAATGCCCACCAAGGCTGCTTTTATTTGATTAGAAATACTGTAAAAATGGTGAAATATTATTACAATTCAAAATAATTGTTTTCTATTTTAATGTCATTTTGAACATTTTAATATTCATATTTTAAAATATAATTATTCCTATCCTGGAGTATCATTACTCCAGTCTTCAGTGTCACACGATCCTTCAGAAATCATTCTAATGAGCAGATTTGCTGCTTGAGAAATATGTCTGATTATGATCAATGTTGAAAACAGTTGTGCTGAATATTTCTGAACTGTAATGCATTTTAATGTTTTATCTTCTGTAACATCACAAACACCTTTACTGTCACTTTTGATGAATTCATTGCATCCATGCTAAATAAAAGTATAACAAATCTTACTGATCCAAACTTTTGAGACTGGTTGTGCGTCAATTAATGGTTATGTCTAGGTGAGGTTATGTGATAAACTGTTAACATTTTAATCACTTCTATGCCGATTCTACTCCACGTTCTCCAGATCATCATGTTCTTCCTCTGATTTCGTCTCCTCCATTGAAAGGTCCCTGAGCTCTGACAGTGGCACCAGCTGACCTTCTTCGTTCAATCCCATTGGCTGAATCATATTATCCCTGTTTAGGAAAAAATATGAGAGTATTAAAGCAGTATGTGTGTATGGGGTTTTCAGTGGTTTAAGTTCCTTACTTTGAGAGTTTGTTAAAAAGACTGATGAGCCGGTGAGCCTCCTCCTCTTTCTCCTCCTCCGTCATTCCCTCCATCGGATCAGGCTGCTCCTCCTCCACCTGTCCCGTCACTGGATTCACTCTGTCTTTGATCTGCCGGTACTCCTCGGTGTCAGAGTCCGAATCGCTGGAGTACTGTGTGCCTGATGATGTGGCCTTTGACCTTTGACCTCCTAGCAAGCCTCTGGTGGCAAGGAGCCCAGCGGCATTTCCATATCCAGTGTACTTCACGAAACGCCTCACTAGAGTATCCGGGGGGGAAAAAACTATATAAAGAACCTTTAACATCCATTGAACAAAGGGTTCTTTATAGTTTGTTCAGGTTATTAAAATAAAAAAAAAACAAAAAACAATTTGTTAAATCTTAATGCTAATAAAATATTAAATATTACAATAATATAAATTCTTATTGCTAAGAAAAAAATGGTTTTTAACAGGGAAGAAAATGGAAAAAAAAATAAAAAAATTAAAGGGTAATTGTGACTTTTTATTGACTTTTTTTCAGAACTGTGAGACACAAATGATCAATTCTAAGAAGAAAAGTCATAATTGTGAGATAAAAAGTTGCAGTTACCTTTTTCACATTTTATTTAATGGGATAAGCAAAAAAACTCAGATGGCATAATTGCAAAAACATTAACAATTGTTATGTGTTTTTGGAGGAAAATTCTGTATTTTTTTTTTTCAGAATATTTGAGAGGTATTTGTGGTTAATATGTGTTTCTGTGCATTACCGCTCTCTTTGCACAGCACGAAGAGCAGGTCAGCAGCGCAGTGTTTGAGCTCAGTGTCCAGGTTTGTCATCAGTCTGACCAGACGATTCCTCATGGTGTTTCCCTCCTCAGGTTTAGTGCTGGCATCTCTTAATGGAGGCAGAATCTGCACTCGATAAAAACAAAAAAACCTTGATAAAAAACAATACAAGTATTTTTAGACGGTGTGTTTGCTGATAATAATGTAAAATAGCAGTCATGCCTGTTGTCTGAGGTAGTGTCTTGTGTCTCTATGAGCTCTGGAGCATTCGGTCAGCGAGTTCAGCACAGGGGTCAGTCTCTCTTTGACCTTTTCCCCCTGCATGTGAAACGCCACGGTGTTGAAAAAGTCAAAAATAACAAGCATAACATAATGTTTCCCTCTGAGGTTCACTATTAAAGACCAGGTTTTATTGTCGAAAAACTATATAAAAATTGTTATAAATAGTTTTCTCCATCCTTTCTAATCATTAGAATTAAATGCTCTGAATGTTTCAAATTTTAACAAAATAAATAAAACTGCATTAAAAATTACTACAGTTCTGCCATCCAAATGTTTGGGGTCAGTAAGATTTTTTTTAATTAACATTTTTTTTTTTTAAAGAAATTAAGAGATTTTTATTCAGCAAGCCTGCATAAAATTGATCAAAAGTAACAGTAAAGACATTTATAATGTGCTCCTGTGGCTCAGTGGTAGAGCATTGCTTTAGCAGCGCAAAAGGTCATGGGTTTAATTCCCAGGAAACACACATACTGGTGAAAAATGTATAGCCTGAATGCACTGTAAGTCGCTTTGGATAAAAGCGTCTGCTGAATGCATAAATTATTATTAATTATTATTACAATGTTACAAAAGATTTTTGCTGTTAAATTATGTTCTTTTGAACTTTCTATTCATCAAAGTATCCTAAAAAAAGTAGGATAGAAATATTAAACATGTTTTCAACATTGATAATAATCAGAAATGTTTCTTGAGCAGCAAATCAGCATATTAGGATTTCTGAAGGATCATGTGACACTGAAGACTGGAGTAATGTTGCTGAAAATTCAGCTTTGCAGCACAGGAATACATTACAATTTAAAATATATTACAACAGAAATAATACTAATAATATTTCACAACATTTCTGATTTTATGTATTTTTCGATCAGATAAATGCAGCCTCGGTGAGCATAAGAAACGATTGTTAATAATTAGTATTGACTGATATTTTGTAAGTCTCTTTAAGGCATAATTTAGACTTGGAGTTTCCTTGTCTGCTGTCTTTCACAGCACAGTTCAGGATAGTTTGGAGCTGAAAGTTACAGTCTGGAAATTACAGTGCGTTTTATAGATGAATTAATGATTTGATCTCAACATATCAAGATAAAGATGATTCATGATAATCTATTATTTTCTTTCACTCTCTCTTCACCTGCTCTAGTTTTCTCTCCATGTACATGAGCAGGTTGTGCACACAGTCCGTGTTGGCTCCATTCGTCTGGTGTGAGTCTGGAGCCAGAGGCACAGATACCAGAACGTCTAGACAGCTCAACGGGAGAGCAGACAGCATATTCACTGCATGCCTGAGAGCACGAGAGAGA